TCCCCTGGACATTTCCTAGTCCAGAATCAGACAGTTTGGTATTGGCTTCTTTCCTTTGAGTCTTCAAGGTTCGTCCATTATGGAGCCTGTGCCAGCACTTCGTCCTGTTCATTGCCAGATAACATCCCATTACAGAGACATGCCCTGACTTAATGGCCCACTCATCCACTGCTGGAAATTCTGTTTTCTTTTCTTTCTTTTTCTTTTTTCTCTTTAGTTGCTACAAGTAGTGCTGCTGTGAACAACTGTGTGGAGACAGAATCTCATCTCTCTAGGAACGGAATTACTTTAGTGTGATGTTTGAATGAAATCAGCCCCATAGGCTCATATGTTTGAGTGCAAGGGCCCTCACAGAAACTGGCGGCCCCTTGGTCTTGGAATTCTTAGCCTTCAGCAGTAAGAAACACATTCTATTCTTTATAAATTATCCAGTTTCTAGTATTCTGTCCTAGCCGCACAAAATGGACTAGGAGCCTTCTCTCGCTGTGAGAAAGCACTCGGACAAACAGCAGCTTAAAGGAGAAAGGGTTTGTTCGGCTTCCACCTCCAGGTTACTGTCTATCCTTTAGGGAAGTCAGGGCAGGCATGTGAGATTTCCAGCACGTTACATCCCCAGCCGAGCACATATATTCTGCAGAGTTTGGGTGGCAAGTTCTGTAGATGTCTGTCAGGTTCACTTGCTGTTTCTCTGTTCAGTTTTTGCTGGCCTGGCCTGCCATTTGTGAAAGTGAGATCCTGAAGCCCTCTGCTGTTATTTTGTGGGGTTAATCCGGGTCTTGACACACAGTAGTGCTTGTGTCATGAAGCTAGGTGCACCGATGCTCCCCCGTGGACTGTTCCCTTAATCACATGAAATGATCTTCTTTTTCGACTAATTTTAGCTTAAAGTTTATTTTGTTGGTATTTGCTTGGAATGCCTTTTTTTATTTCTTGGGACAGAGTCTTGGTACATTATGTACCCCCAGTGTGCTGGGTAATTTTTATACCAGCTTGATACAAGCCGAAGTCTTCTGAGAGGAGGGAACATCAATTAGAAAATGCCTCCTTAAGGTCTGGCTGTAAGGCATTTTCTTAATTAGTGATTGATGGGGTAGAATCCAGTCCATGGTGGGTGGTGCCATTCCTGGGCTAGTGGTCCCGGGTTCTATTAAAAAGCAGGCTGAGCAAGCCATGAGGAGTAAGCCAGTAAGCAGCACCCCTCCATGGTCTCTGCATCAGCTCCTGCCTCCAGGTTCCTGCCCTGTTTGAGTTCCTGACTTGACTTCCTTCAGTGATGAACAATTGTGGTATTGTATTCCCCCAAATATTGTGCATGCTAATAAACTTATCTGGGGTCAGAGACAGAACAACCACAATATTAAACATAGAAGTTAGGCAGTGGTAGCACATGCCTTTAATCCTAGCATTCCAGAGGCAGAAATCCATGTGTTCAAGGATACAGCCAAGCATGGTGACTCACAGCCTTTAATCCCAGGGAGTGATGGCAAAAACAGAAAGATATATAAGGCGTGGAGACCAGAAACTAGAAGCATTTGGCTGGTTAAGTTTTCAGGCTTTAGAGCAGCAGTTCAGCTGAGATTCATTCTGGATGAGGACTCAGAGGCTTCCAGTCTGAGGAAACAGGACCAGCTGAAGAATTGGCCAGGTGAGGTAGCTGTGGCTTGTTCTGCATCTGATCTACCAGCATTCACCCCAATAACTGGCCTCAGGTTTGATTTTATTAATAAGACTCTCTAAGATTCATGCTACAAACAATGCTGTGGACATGTAAACCAAATAAACCTTTCCTCTCTAAGTTTCTTTGGTGGTGATATTTCATCACAGCAATAGAAACCCTAACTAAGACAGTGTCTAAATAAAAACACTGTCTTAGTTAGGGTTTCTATTTCTGTGAAGAGACACCATGACCATAGCAACTCTTACAAAGAAAATATTTACTTGGGGTGGCTTACAGTTCAGAGGTTTAGTCCATTTTCATCTTGGCAGGACATGGCAGTGTGCAGGCAGACATGGTACTGGAGAGGTAGCTGCTACATGTTGATATGCAGGCAACAGGAAGTAGACTGTCTCACTGGGCCTGGCGTGAACATATATGGGATCTCAAAGCCTGCTTCCACAGTGACACACTTCCTCCAACAAGACCACATCTACTCCAACAAGACCACACTTCCTAATAGTGCCACTCCCTTTGGGGGCCATTTTCTCTCAGACTATCACAGACACCCATGCTGGCCTGAAACTTACAATAACCCTCCTGCCTCTGCCTCTCAAGTAGTAGGAATACAGGTGTATGCTATCATACCTAGTTGTGAATCTGCCTTTCAAAACAAGCAATTCCAGAAGGGGCATTCATTGTCTTCAGCTGTGTACCTACTGAGGTCACGCTGAGATGCCCGCCAGGCTGCAGCCAATAGTTCCAAACCAACAGTCACAGATGATTCTGGTTAAACTCAGTGGGTCTCTGTACTGGCTGGTTTTGTGTCAACTTGACACAGGCTAGAATCATCAGAGAGGAAAGACCTTCACTTGAGGAAATGCCTCCATGAGATCCAACTATAAGGCATTTTCTCAATTAGTGATCAATAGGGGAGGGCCCAGACCGTGGTGGGTGGTGTCACCCCAGGGCTGGTGGTCCTGGGTTCTATAAGAAAGAAGGCTGATCAAGCCATGAGAAGTGTGGTAGTTTGAAAGAAAATGGCCCTCAAGTGGAGTGGCACTATTAGGAGGTGCAGCCTTGTTGGAGTAAGCATGGTCTTGTAGGAAGTGTGTCATTATGGAGTCGGGCTTTGAGGTCTCATATATCCTCAAGATGAGGCCCAGTATCTCAGACCATTTCCTGTTGCCTGCAAGACATAGGACTCTCAGCTGCTTCTCCAGCACCATGTCTGCCTGCATGTTGCCATATCCTGCCATGATGATAAAGGACTAAACCTCTGAACTGTAAGCCACTACAATTAAATGTTTTCCTTTATAAGAGTTGCTGTGGTCATGGTGACTCTTCACAGCAATAGAAACCCTAGGACAAGGAGCAAGTCAGTAAACAGCACCCTTCACGGCCTCTGCAGCAGCTCCTGCCTCCTGGATCCTGCCCTGCTTGAGTTCCTGTGCTGACTTTCTTTGGTGATGAACAGTGATGTGGAATAAACTCTTTGTTCCCTAACTTACCGTTTGGTCATGGTGTTTCATCACAGCAATAGACACCTTAACAAAGACAGTCTCAAAAGCGAAAACAAAATATCCAAGAGTCACAAATGTGGGAGAGGGGTTGCAGAGAGCAGGGGGATAGTGGAGGTGGGAGGGCAATTGGGGGTGGCTACAGTAATCGGAATGCATATTCTACTTTACGGAATTATCAAAGAACAAACTCAGTGGTTTTGTTTGTTTGTTTGTTTTTTAACCCACAGGCTATTCCATTAAGATTTCACTTAAAATACAACCTGGTTACATTTTCTCCCTTTCAAAATCCAGTCTGGAACCTGATGAAGGGCCAACAAAAAGTCAACACCCTTTGTCAGGCCCTCAGGCTTTGGAAGAAGGATGCCCATGTAGTGGCTTGAATTAGAAATGTCCCCCATAGGCTCATGTGTTTGAACACTTGGTCCCCAATGGGTGGCGCTGTTTGGAGAGATTATGGAACATTTAAGATACGGAGGAAGTACATCACTGGGGTGGACTTTGAGAGTTTACAACCCTGTCCCACTTCTGGCTCTCGCTCTCTCTCTCTCTCTCTCTCTCTCTCTCTCTCTCCTTCATGTTTGTGGTTGAGGAAGTGATCCCTCAGGTTCCTTCTCTGGCTGTCTATTATCATGTTTTCCTCACCATATGGACTCACCCTCTGGAACCATAAGCCAAAATAAACCTTTTCCTCTGTAAGTTACTCTCAGCCATGGTGTTTTATCACAGCAACAGAAAAGTAAGTAATAAACCCCACCTGAACCATTCACCTCTTAAGAACCTTGTCTGACTTTGAGATAGGTTCTACTTTGTAGCCCAGGCCATCATCAAACTTGTATTAATCCTGCTAAGTCCTGGCATTATACCCAAGAACTGCCATCTCCATTTTACATCACTTTTAGACAATTCTCCTATCAAATGTTGCAGACTGTATTCAGGTTTGGCTTCGATGTTTATTATTGTTGTCCTGGCTATTATCCAGATAATGTATAAAAATGTTTAGTACAGTGTTTGACCCTCAACAGTGCTTTAAGCTATTAATATAGAGGAGATCATAATAAGTATCATTATGGAGTTTTATATATCACTTTAGTGTTTACATAATAATTAACAATGTTAATAAAATAATATAGAAAAGTACATCAAAAGTAAGTATTACCCCATGCTCCCACACATAAGTGAATATATACAAAAAGATGGCAGAAATGTATAAACATATGAATAAGCATAAATGTCACATATGTTATACACAGTATGTATTTCCTTTAATAATATACCATGGAACTCTTTCTTTGTCAGAATATTTTTCATTATCTATTTTGTTTTTGAAGCATGTTCTCATTTTGTAGACTTGGATGGCCTGGAACTTACTATGTAGACCAAGGTGGCTTCAAACTCTCAGAAATCCATCTGCCTCTGCCTCCGAACTGCCCACCATGCCTGGCCTCATTATCTGTTTTAATGACTACATAGTGTTCCATTTTGTACACAATTAACTACACTAATTTCTCATTCATATACATATTTTTTTTCAATTTTATAAAATTAAACAGATAGGGTTTTTTTGCTGTTACTTTTTAAAAAACTTTATTAGCCATATTCTATTGTGGTAAGAACAATTAATCTTAAATCTCTCCTCTTAAAAAGACTTCACGGGTACAATATACTATGGTTGACTGTAGGTATAATGTAGTAGGTAGGTTTCTAGAATGTACTAACCTTGCTTAAGCGAAACTGCATACTCATTGATTGTTTATCCCTTGCTTCAGTCCCTGGCAACTTTTTTTTTTTTTTTTTGATCTTATGAAACTGACTATTTTCCATACCTCATGCAAGTGGAATCACCATTTTTTTTTTTTTTATCATTGACTGATTAGCACTCCACGACAGTCATGAAAGCTGTTGCCAAAATCCAGATGACGAGTGTTGCTGAGCTGGAGAGTAATCCGAGCCCTCATGCGCTGTTGGCGGGAACACAAAATGTGTGGTTGTACATCCAGAAAACAGCAGAGCAGTTCTTCAAAATCTAAAAAGACAAAGGCCATCGGATTGACCAGCAAATACACGTCTGGGTGTTTATACAAAAGAACTGCAATCAGGGCTGTGGAGACAGCTCAGGCAGTGAAGTGCTTGCCCCACAGTGAGTTTGAGCCCCAGAACCCACATGAAAGCCTGGCACAGTGAGTGACCTGTGTTCGTAATCCTAGCACTGGGGAGGTGGAGATGGGTGGGTCCCTAGGGCTCCCTGGAAACCAACCTGATGGAATCAGTGAGGTCCCAGACAACGGAGAGACTCTGTATCATAAGACAAGGTGGACAGCAGGATGACCCTAAGGTTGACCTCTGGCCTTCACACACACACACACACACACACACACACACACACACACACACACGAATGGAAATCAAGATTCCTAAAGAGATATCTGCATTCTCATGTTCAACATATTCACAAAAGTCAAACCAGGGAAACAAACCCAGGATCTTTGGGCAAACAAATAAAGAAAATGTGAAATATACACACAATAGAATATTATTCAGCCTTTGAAAACAGAAAGCCAAGTATGGTGATACACACGTGTAATTCCAGTACTAAGGAAAACTGGAAGATCTTAAATTCAAAGTTGACCTAGGCTGCGCAGCAAGGACTTGTCTCAAAAAAGTAAAAAAACAACAAATTCTGCAATGAAGATACAAGATGAATGAACTTTGGAAACATCGTGCTAACTGAAATAGGCCAGCTTCCTTGTTTCTGATCAGTTGTTCAAGATAATTCCCTAGGACGAGGATTGATAGGTCTGTTCCCCACGGCATCATTTTAGAGTTTTGAGAATGAAAATAGCTGGTGAGAAGGGCCCAGGTACTACAAAAACGAGTCTCTCACAATGTGTATCCATCCTGTACCTCATGGTGTGTCCATCCTGGAGATGACAAGGCAGAAAATGTTCCAGCACTGAAGCAGACAGACGTGCACACCAGCAATGTTGGCAAGAAGAAAAACATGCTACCCCCAAGCTATTCTATTCCTATGACAGAACACCACAATCAAGGCAACCTATAAGAGAAAATATTTAATCTGGAGCTCACGGTTGGAGAGAGTTAGGGTCTGTGACCATCATGGCAGCAGACAGGCAGGGTGCTGGAGCAGTAGCTGAGAGCTTACATCCTTATCCACAAGTTGGAGGCAGAGAAAGCTAATTGAGAATGGACTGGGCTTTTGAAATCTCAAGGACCACTTCCAGTGAGTGATACACCTCCTCCAACAAGGCCATACCTCCTAATCCTTCCCAAACAGTTCCACCAACTGGGGACCAAGCATTCACATGTATGAGCCTATGGGGGTCTGTCTTAGTTTTACTGCTGTAAATAGATGCCATGACCATGGCAACTCTCATAAAGAAAAATATTTAATTGGGGCTGGCTTACAGTTCAGAGGTTTAGTCCATTGTCCATGGCTGGAAGCATGGCAGTGTGCAGGCAGACATGGTGCTGGAGAAGGAGCTGAGAGTACTACATCTGGATCCACAGGGAGCAGGATGAGAGAATGAGCCACTGGGCCTGGCTTGAGCTTCTGAGACCTCAAAGCCCACCCCCCAGTAACACACTTCTTCCAACAAAGCCACACCTACTCCAATAAGGCTACACCTCTTAATAGTTCCATTCCTTATGGGCCTATGGGGGCCATTCTCATTCAAACCACCACAGGTGTGAAGGCAGAAAGTGCTCCAGCACTGAGGCAGACAGGTATGTGTACACACACGTGATGCTGGCAGGAAGGAAAGTATCTTGTCTTTGGGCTAGCTCCTAGGTTCATGTCAGTGGGAAAAAGACATTATATGCCTGTCAGTCGGGGCAGATGAAAACACAGTGGATGGATGGATGCTTGCATGCATGGATGGATGGATGACCTAACAGCCAGCCATGCTACTAAGACAAAGAGTTGGTCTCTAGAGCTTTGCTGAGAAACAGCATTCACCTGCTGGCTTCTCAAGTTAGAACCCCTGCTCTCTCAGTTCTTTCCAGTGAAAGCAAGCCCTCTGCACCAAGTCAGGTGCATCTTGCTATGCCCCTCCCAACCCTGTCACTCCAGCTCTTCTGAGTGAATTAATACCCACTGCCAGATCCCCAGCTCCCTATTTTTAAACCAGGCTCTTCAGTTACATCCCACACAGGTGTTCACCATCCTTATCGTCTCCCACGGTGCCTCCTCGTTTCTGACCTTTTCCCTTTGGAAATTCTTTGAGGTCTCCTGGTGCAACAGTGAGCCCCGATTTCCTGAAACTGACTTGCAAGATGCCATTGTGTTGATACTAAGACAACCGTATGAAAGTGGTGGAAGTTTTCGCTCTCTTCTGGGCATATTTTCCAGTGTGCCAGAGTGGCTCCTACAGATTCCAGGCAGGCCAACTTCGTGTGGAGTGCTTATACCAGAAAGCCAACCGATTCCCCCTGCCAGACCCCCATCACCCCTTATTAAAAATGTACACAATTGACTTCCAGCAAATCTCACCCCATTTCCTCTACCCCTTAACATACACATGCGCTTGTTGAGAAAGGGCAGGCAAAGCCATCGAGTGACAGCAGGGGAGGAGGGTCAGTCGCAGCAGCCTGCCTTGGGCCTTCTTCATTCTTGCAGCTCTAGAATGAAGACCTCAAAGCCCACCCCCCAGTAACACACTTCTTCCAACCCAGCCAGGGAACATCAACTCTCCTCTTGTCTCTTCTTTCCCTTCACCATTTCTAATTATAAATGTGTATAGTGTGTTTGTTTGTTTATTCGAGACAGGGTTTCTCTGTGTAGCTTTGGAGCCTGTCCTAGAACCCGCTCTGTAGACCAGGCTGGCCTCAAATTCACAGAGGTCCACCTGCCCCTAATTATATTTTTAAGGGCAAGAAATTATAAGACAGCTGGGCGATGGTGGCGCATACCTTTAATCCCAGAACTTGGGAGGCAGAGGCAGACAGATCTCTGTGAGTTGGACGCCAGCCTGGTCTACAAAGTGAGTTCCAGGACAGCCAGGATTGTTACACAGAGAAACCCTGTCTTGAAAAACAAACAAACAAAAAAAAAAAAAAAGAAGAAAGAAAGAAAAAGAAATTATGAGACAGATGCAGTGGAATGGAGCTGGAGTGTGTGTGTGTGTGTGTGTGTGTGTGTGTGTGTGTGTGTGTGTGTGTGTGCACATGTAGGCTAGGGACCACAGCCTCTCTGAAATACAATGGTTTAATTATAGACAGAAACAAGAAAAACACTGCATTCTGGAACCTTTCCCCCAGCTTGCAGCAGAAGCAGTAGGGCTCAGGAGAGCTGGGCAATGTCCACTGAGCCAGAAGCAAGCGTTCGCTTTAACGAGCAGTTGGAGAGGCAAGGCTCGAGTTGTTGCACTGACCTACATTCCCTTGGACACGGCAGGCGGGCGGTATGAAGCCGGCGAGCTTGGAGCGAAGCTGACTGGAGTGCTGATGGACGGGGATTTAGCTTTTAACATTCACATCTCAAGAATAGGCAGCGGTCTTCTGTTCCCAGCTCGCCAACCGATCAACTTTTCTCATCTCTCCTCCCCTCCGTACTCCAACGTTTCTAGCTCAACTCAAGACAACTCGGAAGTCCTCTCAATGCTCCACAGAGCAGTGTTTGTAACGAGCTCATTAATAATCAGAACCCTCACGCTGGACTGTGCAGTATGTATTGAAAAGACAGAATTTGTACCAACAATGCTGGTGAGAAGTAGGAAATTCTAAATGAAGAAATAACCACGGACAGTGGAGCGCTTGTATTTCAAACACTACAGACAGTGCACAGAGGAGAAAACCGCACACCAGAAAGCCGGTGTCTCTGGACCTTTGCTTATTTCTGCGGAGGAGTCTGAGTTCTACTCCCTCTCTCTTTTCATTTATGAAGATGTAGGCACTATAAAAATACTAAGACGTTGCTGGGCGGTGCTGTTGCACACCTTTAATCCCAACACCCAGGCAGATTTCTGAGTTCGAGGCTAGCCTGGTCTACAGAGAAGAGTTCCAGGACAGCCAGGGCCACTAAGAGAAACCCTGTCTCAAAAACTAAGACGCAAAGTACAAAGCCCTGGCTTATATTTTCCAAGATGCATCCAGTTTTGTTAGCTTGTTTTTGTTTTGGTTGTTTTTGTTTCGAGCAGGGTCTTTCTATGTAGTACTGGCTGTTATGAAGCTCCCTATATAGACTAGGCTGGCCTTGAACTCACAGAGATCTTTCTGTCTCTCCCTCCTGCTCCATCTGTGCTGGGATTAAAGGCATGTACCACTATGACCAGCTAGTGTTTGTTTTATAAGCCTAGGAGTCCCAGTATTTGGTCCACACATATTTACATGTGTTGCATCTTCTTGATGAACTGCTCCTTTTACTAGTATAATATGAAGGAGATCAAACATGGCCTAGGGTAGGCAAGAGAGATGAGTAACAGTAAAAATAAAATATGTATGTAGAAATATGTCACAATGAAACCAACCCATGCCTTTGTATGACAACTGAAAAAAATTAAAAGCCAACAAATAAATGCAATTCTGTGAAATAGCCTTTAAATAGCCAAATTAATGTTTCAATTACAAGATTTCTTACTCAACAAATATTTACACACCAGGTCATGTTCTGTACATGGAATGAACACATAACACAAAATTACTCCTAATTAAATAAACTGCAAAATGTTGACAATTTTGTTTTTGATCCTGGTGCTGTTTTCTGGCCCACAGCACCTAAAACCCTTGAAACCCCTCAGACCATGTTCTGGTCCATGTGCTAACAAGGTGACTGGTGGCCCAGGATCCTGAGAGCCTCAAATTGGGGCTAATGCTAGAGAAAGCCAACCACCGGGTTAGAGTTGGAGTTTTGACCCCAGAACCATCTCCATTCATGGGGAGAGAAACAGACTAAATATAGAGTTTATTACTAATGGCCAATCTTTTTTTTTTTGGTTTTTCAAGACCGGGTTTCTCTGTGTAGCTTTGTGCCTTTCCTGGAACTCACTCTGTAGCCCAGGCTGGCCTCGAACTCACAGAGATCCGCCTGCCTCTGCCTCCCGAGTGCTGGGATTAAAGGCGTGCGCCACCACCACCCGGCTCTAATGGCCAGTCTTAATTCAGCCATACCTAATGTGGTCTTCATAAAAGTCAAGTTGAGGGCATTCTAGATTCCCATAAACATTTGGAAGTGCTAGGAGAAGAGGGCACCCTAATGCACTAAAAGCTATGTCTCCACCCTCATCAGTTTACTATGCCCTCTTCCATGTGACTGAACATCTGTATCCTTTATAATATTCTTTATAATGAACAAGTTGTTGTATGCTTCTCCGAGGACTACGAGCCATTCTAGCAAACGATGCAACTGAAGGAGAGGAGAATGGGGCCTGTGGTTTCTAGCCAGTCAATCAGAAGCACTGGACATCTAGACTTCGGCTGGCAGCCTTGTGGGATTGAAGCCCTTAATCCGTGGGATCTAATGCTACTAAGTTCAGGCAGACACGGTCAGAATTGAAATGAAGTATAGGACACCCAGCTAATGTCAGGGAACCAGTCCTTGTGGAAAAAATACCCAAACACCTGGTTACGGAAGTGCTGTGTGTTGAGAAACAACCACCCTTCCCACTCTCTAGGACTTACTCTGTCTGGGAAGGCCCCAGTGAAGTAACTAAAATGAGTCTTCCAGTCTGAATATCACAGAATATAGTATCCTAGAAAAGCCTCCTCCCTCTGCCAACAAGAAATAGGATCCCAGGAAGGGTAGAATTTGCCTGAGACCAGTTCCCATTCTTCCCTGACACCAAGACTCTCTTCCCATGCAAAGTTCTCACATTAAAATGTAACAGCCGGGTAACCAGACTTACACTTCATAAAAGCTTCGTGGAATTGTTCATCTCTACAGAAGACAGCCACCAGCACCTACTGGATCAGAAACCTACATACCGTCAAAGAGGAAAAGCGTACAAAGTCAACACAGGGGGGTGATGAAATTATCCCAAAGAACTAAAACAGAAACCAACTCAGCCTGCCTTACAGATAGATGTTCCCTCTTAAGAAATCAAAAGAGTTGGAAAGCTTGCTCTCTAGTGGGGAAATAATGAACTAACCACACAACTGCAATGTTTCAGAAACCATGGTCCAGAATCGCATGCCAGCAAAAGTATTAACAGCGATTGATGCATATAAACATAGATACGTCAGGGAACAGATATGAGCACCTTCTATAGGCTTAGCTTGGACCTGTCCTCAAAGGTTTTCTTGTTGGACAGACAAAACCTTGACCTCGCACAAGGCCAGACAGATACTATGATGACTGAGCATGACCGACAAGAACGCAGTTGGAAGCTGAAAAGAACAGGTCTGGGTCCGACTCTGAGTTGAGACGTTCTGTTAGCTTCAAGTCACGTCTAATGAGGACGGTACACATGCCTCTCCCACAGTGAAGGGTACAGGAGATGAGTCAAAGGACCCAGGTGGCTGCCGGCATTCAGCAACAATTCTGAATGAGTGCTCCCTCTGTGCTTCACATTTCACAGACCAGGTTAGGGAGCTTAGTTAGCATCAAGCTAGATAAGAACGCAGCAGCAAGGGTTCAAGAAAGGAGGCAACTTCTCGAACACACAGCTGTCTTGCAAGGTCTGAAAAAGGTGTTCCTTTTGGTGGAGGAACTGCAACGATGCCCCTTCTGAGAACTAGTCAACAGGCACCACTGTCTAACGTCAGCAGCAGTCACCGACGGCTGCTTGGAGGAAAGGGCCAGCAAGATGGCTCAGGTGGGAAAGAAGCTTGATGACCCGAGTTCTATCTCCAGGACCCAAATAGTGGAAGGAGAGAACTGACTCCTGCAGGCTGTGACTCCACATGAGTACTGTGGCATACACACACACACACACACACACACACACACACACACACACACACACACACACACACACACACAAATAAATAAATGTTAAAAGATCTTTATGCCCTGGTGGCACAGCTCTTTCATGTCAGTACTTGGAGGCAGAGGCAGGTGGGTCTCTGTGAGTGCAAAGGTAGCCTGGTCTACCTAGAGAATTCCAGGACAGCTAGGGCTACACACTCAAACTGTCTCAAAAAGAAACAAACCAAACACCTTTACATTTAAAATTAAAATTGGAAAATCAGTTCCTCATCCTCACTAGTCATATTTCAGTGGTCAGTGGCCAGCCACATGTCACATGTGGCCAAAGTACACAGTAAAGTAAGACTGATGTACACTTACATTTATTGTTCTCTTTTCTTTCCTTCTTTCCTTCCTCCTTTCCTTTCTTCCTTCCTCCCATCCATCTTTTCTTCTTCCCTTCCTTCCATCCTTCTTTCCTTCCTTCCTTCCATCCTTCTTTCCTTCCTTCCTTCCATCCTTCTTTCCTTCCTTCCTTCCATCCTGCTCCTCTTCCCTTTTTTTCCTCCAGCCCTTTTTCACACTCTCTGACTTTAGCTCAGCATTTCATATTTCACTATGCATCTTTCATCTCAGCCTTTCAGCTACACTTATATTTTCTTAATAGTTGCCTTGGAGTTTGCAGCATAGCCTTACAACTGATAATGGGCCACTTTAAAGTATCACTTTACTACTTCCTAGGTCATGTAGGTGCCTTGGAACAGAGCTCCCAGCTCCTCCTATCCCATGCTCATTCCATGAATCCCTAAATTATGGTCACCCAACATACTGTTGTATTCTGATAAGCTCCATGGATTAAATAAGGAAGAAAAAGAACAGTTTTGCCTTAATTTCTTCTGGCTCTAGTACTCTGTACATTTGTTTGTAATCAATCCAGTCTTCCTTCCCTCTTAAGAATGCTTAACAGCTGTAGCAAGATGGATCTGCTAAAGACCAACTCAATCTCTGGTTAAACCTTATTTCTTCCCATCTGAAGGGCAGTTTTGCTGGATACAAAATTTTAGGCTGTTTTTTCTTTTAAGTATTATATTTTACCCACTCTCTTTTCTGTTTGGTTTCTGGAAAGAAATTTGGTGCTAATTATTACCTTTTTCCTCTTTGAGAAATGTGGGTTCTGTTCATGTAAGATTTTCTCTGTCTTTGACTTTCTGTGGTTGGAACAACTTGAAAGACTTTGCAGCAAGTAAGCACATGGAAGTCAACATGGCCACAACATCTTGTCATGTTTGACATAAGTTTGGTTTGGACTACTTCATTCTGGTTAGTTCATTCATCTTAGCCTGTTTATTTATCTATTCTGTTTTTTAGTTCAAATTTTAGCTTTAGCTGTGCTTCTTATAAGCACTTAATATGTCCTAAGAACCTTGAATCTTCTAAGTGGTTAAATCATGAGTCTTAACTGGTAAACTACTAACAACTGTAATTAATGTTACATTAGAACCTCTTTATTCTTTGCCTGAGTTGACTCCTGAGCTTTTCTTCTTGGGTTGCCACAGCTTGTACAATCATACTTGTCTCTCTCTACTTATTTTTATAACTCTTTTCAATCTTCATAATTATTAATTTCCTTTAAAGAAAAAACCTACAGTCAATATAAAGAACTACAGACAATGAAGGAATGTTCAGAGTTGGAGAAACAGTCTTCCCCAAGGAAGAGCACACCGATGGGTTGTCCAATGCCAAGTGGTCAGCCCTGAAAACACAATACAAGTAACATT